CAATTTGGTTTCGGTTTTTACTTAGAGCTTGAGTATGAAACTTACTATTGACATCATGATGCTCAAACCTAAGTTTTTTAATGTTAGTTATCCAATCAGAATATGTTTTGCTGATTGTTGTCTCCTTTAACAGATCATGTTAATTGTTGGTTCCCTTGTAGCTTGAGTATGAAACTTACTATTGACATCATGATGCTCAAACCTAAGTTTTTTTATGTTAATTATCCAATCAGGACATGTTTTGCTGATTGTTGTCACATTTAACAGATAATGGCAATTGGAACCCTAGCCTTGTGCTATAATAATGTGGAGGTGTTTAGAGGTGTTGTAAAAATGCGACGTGGTAAGATCATTTGACAGGATTAATATGATTTACATATGTTCTTCTCTACTTCCTAATTGTATACTTTTTCTCATTCATTCTTTTTTTATTGATTCAGTTTTGATGTTATAGTGAAAACTGTTCTCTTATTTTATTGTATAGACTCTTATATATGAAAACATAATACTTGGATTTATGGAGTGCACAAATTCTCTCTCTTATTCTTAATTTGCTAATGAATCATTTTAAGGTGGTCATGTTGATCATGAATGAGCTTACAAATTTATAAGGATCCAAATCCCAAAAAAAGTAAAATATAAAAACCATATTACGGCCCTAATGTATTAGAGATACAATTACACATGTAAGTCCTAGAAACTATCTTATTTAAATTAGGATATACAGCCGTATAGGAATATAACTTTCATATTCTAGGAATGCAACTTCCATACTCAAGGATTACAGCTTCCACATGCGTGTGATTCTCCAACGTAGCTTCCATATTCAAGGTTTTGAGCTTCCATAACTATGTGATTTACCAACAACAGCTATAGTTGCTTGAAGCTTGACTCACTTGTTTTTGCTAATTAGCATCTAGAGTAAGTCCAGGTTGACTCTTTTTTCCAGCATTTACTGATATCAAGAAACTAAAAAATATAATATATATTGCAAGTGACAATGGATTTGTTCCCATAGAAGATGAAACTGTATAACAATCATATGATACATGTGACTGGCTCTCTGTTTTTTTTTTTTTTTCTTCTTTTTGCTGTTAATGATCCTTGCCGTGACTAGTTGACAAGATGATTTTAATTATTGGATGTACTTAACAGAAGGTTTGGGCCATTTTATTCCACTTGGATATCTATAAAGTTTCATATTTCAGTTCAGTACAATCCAATTTTTTGTATTATCGATTGATATATTTCTGCACTTATTAATCTCTTGGCGCTGCTCTTTTACAGGACTAACAGCTAAAATTATCGACCAGACAAACTCAATGTCAGATGTATATGGTGCTTTTTATGAATTTTCTTCTCTGCTGAAATCAAAGGTAGGAGTCCTCTATTATGCAGAATAACTATATGATAATTTTGAAGGTTAATGACTTTTCACATGTGCATATAAAGTGAATAAAGGTGAGGTTGCTATTTTGGTGGACCAAATCACACTGAAAATTGTTGGAAGTATCATCACCTACCACAGACCCGCTGAATGAGTCCCGACACATTGTCCCCATCTTGTGAATTAATTTACTGAATTACTTGGTAAATGTCACCTGATTTACTTGATCAAAATGTCATCTGAGTTAAATGTACTAAAATTCTTTGTAAATATCATCTTGTAGTTATTTGGTCAAAATTAATTTACTGAATCAAACCAAACCTACTTGGTAAATGTAATCTGGTTTACTTAATGGGTCAGTATGGTTTGGTAACTTTAATATTTTTGGTATGTTTTGTGGAATGAAAACCGGATAAGCCGAATAAACAAAACTAAGATTAGACTTTTCTTTAGTAATCTAGTCGAGCAGTTTACTCTTAGTATTAATGTGTCAATTAAACTAAACAGACTTATTGATGGCAATATAAATATAATTTACAAACCCCTTTTAGGAACCAGCCTTGGTGTTTGAACAAACAAATGAAGCCATAATCACTAGCCTCCACTTGGAAGTTGTTGCTCCCATGCAAGTCAAAAACTGACTGAACCAACTGAATTTTAATATACGGCATGGTATGGTCAGTTCATTTTTTTAATATAATTCAGTTCAGTTTGACAGATAAAATTGATAATTGATCAAGAATTCCAAACTGAGATATCCTAAAACCAACTAAACTGACCAAATGCTTGCCCCTATTTCTTCAACATGATTTTGTCTGGATCTCCGTTTTTGTTGAACTTGAAGATCATGCTAAAACTTCCCTTCATTTCCACTTATGATCGTAATCCTTAGTTCCGTACATAAGGAATTGACTAATAGTTAATTGGCTATGCAGATTGATGATAATGATCCAAATGCCAAGCTCACTCGTAAGCATGTAGAGGCTATACAGAAGGCTTGTGGATCTTCTGGGTTGCTTGATACAAGGTTTGTTATTAAATCATTGTTCTCTGAAGATTCTTATTTATGCCATTCTTTTTTAAAATTTGAGTGTTTTAGGGGACTTCGTATGCACGAGAGCAATCGTCACACTTCATTGCTGGTGAGTTGTGCTCCATACACCAGAACAATCATTGCTTCTTTAAGGCTAGAGTTTCACCTAAATTTCCTGGTAATGTTCAATGCAGATTATGGTGGTCTTCCTTTTACTAGCCCTGTTACTTTCCTTTCTATCACACAAATGATTAGTCTCCATTGAGGGTAAGGATCATTGTGAAAGGTCAACAGCTCATAGTACATTCTTCTAAATGTCAGAAAGAACAACTTTATAAACTGAAAATGAAATCTTTTCATACTCCATCTGATTCCGATTGCCGATAATTGCAGGACTCAGCTACTTATCTCATCGCCACTGTGGTTGGAAGGCTCTATGTTTGGTCTTGTGCGCTGGATGGATTTCTTTCGTTTCTTATGTGGGTGGTAACATGTTCTTGCAAGGAAGAGTATTGGCAGTATTCTTGACCGTGTAATGAGTTAAGATGTGTTGTAATGGAATAACAAAATGAACTGTTTTCCTCCTTAATATATATATTTTATCAGTGCATGCTTTGTAATGAAAAACTTAGTAACTAAAATTTAGATTTATTTGTCACCATTTGTGTACATCTCTCTCTCTCTCTTCTTTTAATATATATCTCAAGAATTAATGTTGTCAGAGACATATCAAGATTTGAAGCCTTTTCATCTAAGCTTTCTTGTTATGTTAGACTTTCAGTTCTTCTAAGAATCAACAAATTACTGCACACACGCTCTTAATATCTTCCCTGAAATCACCAGCTATCACCTTTTTTTTTGTTAATTCAGAAAAGAAAGCTTTAAATGTCCACAGAACGACCTTGAGAACTCAGGGTACAAAATGGATTTCAAATCCAAAGGAAGGTGAGCATCTTAACACATACTTGTGCTAATAACTTTGTATGATCCCTCATCATCCTGCAATAGTAAACATGTATCAGTATTAATTTTGAAATAGAAAATTGTCATTCAAAGAAAAAGATGTGTGATAGATTCTAATGCTATTTATATGTGTTAAATAGGAAGTGATTTTTTCTCTCTCCCTTTTATTTTTTTTCCAAGCAATTAAGTAATCTCTCTCTAATGACACAAATTTTTTTTTGTATTAATGGTATCTCTCTTAATTAGTTGAAACAAAACATTTAGGATTCCTTTAATTCATCAAAATGACTGTGGAAGTGACAATCATTTTGATGAATTAAAGGAATCCACCTGAAATTATCTATCAAGGAGACGTCAACAATCAAAAGCACGAGCGAGGGTGTTCTACTTGTAATCATAAATATATTCGATGTTATCCCGTGAAAGGTAAAATCCATCTCCTTCACTTTCTCCATCCTCGACGAACAAACCTCGTGAGAGATCGTCGTCGACAAGGAATTTATCCATACGATAATGATCACACATCGTGAAACATGCTTCTTTTGACCGGTCAACGCTTACCTTTCGCTGCTTATAACGAAGTATTGAAATTTGATACTACTAAACGCATCTTTACCTGTAAAGTATTTTAGATCGAACCCTTTCCCTTGAAATGCCATGCTTTTTCAATCAGAATATGTTGAAATTGATTTGGATTCATGCACTGTGTGACGCTGTCACATCATTTAAGCTAACTTGAGTGTCCGACTCTCCGACTCTCCGACTCATCGACCACACACCAATGGCCAGATCGACCCCACAAGAACTCTCGCAGTCAACGACGGCGTTGGCCGAGGACATCAGAGTCCGAGTTGATCCCACCCACTCGCCCGCACACGTAAGGATGTTAATGTATCCACGTCTCTCCGGTCGACCGCAACCTTCCACGCGATCCAAGCGTGGGAGGCAACACCCATCACACAGAGAGAGAGAGAGAGAGAGAGAGGACAAGAGAGCGTGCGGATCACAGCGGCCGACACGCGGCGTCACCTGAGCGAAGCCTTCCGAGAAGTGCAAAGAATTTCCACTCGTTGGCTCGTCAGCCACCATTGCACCCTGTTGTTTTACGTGGGCCCCACCTATAGGCCAATGACAAGAGAGGTGAAGCGACGCGTACCGATCGGCCAAATCTCTGCACTATTCGCCCAATCCCCGCCTCTCTCTCTCTCTCTCTCCTGGTGTTGCCTAGCGGATCATGTTTTCCCGCACTTGTTCGTTTGTTACCCGCTACCTCGGTAGGTCATTCGGTGCGGACCCCATCGATCAACCAACAACAAGAGAGGTGCACAAGGGATGCGCCAATCCTCTCTCTCTCTCTCTCTCTCTCGCTGTTGTTGAGCCGATCGATCATGTTGTTGGTTTTATAATGGAGATGTGGATACGATGGTATTGACGATGTGAGTTACGATCCCCCCAAGTCCTCCTCGGTCGGGCCGCTATTCTTCTTCCTGGATCTCGGAATCAGATTGCAGACCCCAACATTTCG